TTCTATTTAAATCGGTCACTGGAGTTCTTTCGTCTGTAGACTGGTTTGTAAGCATTTATAGTGATATATATATATATATATATATATATATATATATATTGGTTCTGCTGAACAGCTCAGCATAAAATATTTTCTACTTCTATACACCTACAGTTCTGGCCCCTTAAATACATTTCACTTTTCTCATATCTTTCGATTTCCATATGCTAAATATGTATTCAGTTTTAACGAGGTAATATTCATACTTTAAAATAAGCTATTTCAATTTTAAGAGTATTTATATTTCAGTCAATAAAAATTACTCTACGTTACTCCGTAAAATCTACGCACTGAGGGTTATTTTTCTTGGTCATTGGTTTCAGTTAATAATGATTATTATTTACGTAACATTGACATTTTTTATCACAAAATTGTTAACTTGAACAAGGGTCATAACACAAAAATATATTGAGAGAATCTACCATCAAAATAAGAATTCAAGATAAATATGAAGATTTACAACTAGCATTATAAATGTTATGATAGATTTATTGTTCTCTTAGATTGCTTACTGTGGCTTTAAGGTCTGTAAAAAGGTTTTCTCCAAAGTTGTTTCAAAAGTAACAACACTAACAAAGTTAATCAAGTTTAGTAAGCCAGAAAAACAATTTGAACAAGAGACAATTCAGTTACTGGCGTATTCTCTTCATTACCTGCATAATATCGTAGTATCGTATTCACTGCAAATGTCACTAACCAAGAGTAACAAGAATGTTCTGATAGTTTGTTTTTGTCTGAGTTTCTCGAGTAACTGTTAATGTTGTGTCAGAAGTTACTTCGGTGAACACAAGCTGACATGAATCAGAAATAAAAGCATTCAACATAATAATTCCCGGTGTTATAGTACTAATAGTTTCCGCTGCTTCAACTTTCCCGTTTTTTAGTATGATCTTTACAACTCCATTTCAAAATTTTTAACATTGGCTAAGTTTTACAATTCAGCTATAGTTTCCTCGCTAAAGCCTCAATAACTTAGTAGAAAATTGTGATATTAGACAAAAATGAATGAAATTGAATGAATTAACTACTAAGTAGTATGAACAATTGTATGATATTATTTATTTATTTTTATTTTATTCCTTTACGTTTCCAGTGGAACATAAGGCTTCAAGCTAGAGCTTTGAAGTTTCGGTAGCCGTGGTATTTATTTTTACGGGATGGTGTTGCTAGCCTCATGTCCAACCTTCCCTCTTTACCAGTCCTATTACTGGCTTAGCGAGGTAGAGGAGTGCGTCGGCCGGGGATCGAACCCCGAACCACATGTGTGGTTGGCGAGCATCTACCACTGTGCCACCGACGAGTACTGTATGTTATAAAATCGATTTGTCAGTTTTTACTAATTGAGGGATATTCATTCGACACTCACTTGCGATAGTAAGACGAATTGCTATTAAGCTGTTCAAACTGGAAACGAAGCTATCTGCAAGCAGACCAAACGGGCTTATGAGTTGACCTGATTCCATGGTCAGTGGTTATATAAGCTCCTTCAAGGCTCTCTTATGCCTTACTGAATTTCACCAGCGTATACCATATAGAAGCCTGGTACTTTCTACAAACTGTCTCTTTCTGCTACCTAACAAATAGAAATTCTGTGTTATGTAACTTAGTTGGCATCCAAAAATGTTATTAACAGTAAATGAAAACATTAGTTACTGTCCAATAATCACTAAGCATAGCTGGTATTCCCTCTTACTCCACCATTCACACACAGTGAGTAAATCCCAATAAAAATTATTTACTTATCCATAACATAATTAGTTCTATTTTGAAAAAATGGAGAAGATTTGTAGCTCAGGTGGATGATATAGAATTAATTGTTTTCTCTGAGCTGGTTGATTTAATTGCGAAGCTTTCGTCGTCCACCTTCTAGATAACACCTGAAAATGTTATTAATTCAATAATTCTATTTTCCTAAAAATGATTATAAAATTATTGCATCGCTTTACCGTTTATATATGCATATTGTCTATAGAAGAAAACGAGTTCACATTAACAAAAACCTAACAAATACCTGTTAGATGCCAGCCTACAAATCGATATAAATTAAAATCTACTCAGCTGATGCCAAATATTTTAACTGCAACTGACAGTTTACAACATTAGTTCATAATACCTTGTTAGTAGAACTCCTTATCGCCTCAGAACATTTATAACTAGGGAACACTTTGATTTTACGCACTTGTGTATTGATGACAGTCAGTATAAAAAGGTGTCAGTATCTATCGTGTAATCACTAAATCTCAAAACGATGTTTCAGTCTTTAATAAATAAATTTTGTAAGTATATACTGGTAATTTCTTTTTAAATTAAAGTTTTTTAAGGTTTAAGTGATATTGGTACTGAAAAAACCCATTTCTAATTCAAACGGTAATGTGTTTACTGTGAAATTGTTGAGTTCAGTTTTGATTGTTGGGCGATTGGTTCTTGTTTTGTTTGTTCCCATAGTTTCTTGTTGGTGATTCTTTCCGGCTACCTGATCTTCAGTATAGAGCGAAGACAGTTGTTGATGAAGATCTGCAACCTGTTGGAAATATTCTTTGTGACCCGCCAAGTTACAAAGAACTTCCATAGGGTTCATTGAATTAAATATTTGAAGAAAAAAAAATGATGCATTGGGCTCTATAGCACCTTAAACTATCACGCCAAAAAATACATGTCCTACCTAATGAAAGTACAATCAACAGTCAAAATGAAAGTAAAGTCCAAGCAGTAGTGTTCTTTCTTATTTTTAGTTTAAATTCGTATGCGAAGCAAGTAATGAAAACATTTTGATTGTTATGACAATAAGATAAAAATAGGTGCTCGTTTAGGTGTCCAAAAAATTCGCAGATTCAGGGCTATGAAGAAACTTCAGCACTGAGTATGTGATTATTATTATTGTTTCCTTTAATTCCTAGAGGAACATAGGGCTTCAGCCGTGCGTCTCCATTGCGTTCGGTTCTCTGCTAGAGTCTTCACCTGGCTCCAAGTCTTCCACACATTTTCATCTCCTCTTCACATGACCTCCTCCAAGTCACCCTTGCACTGACGACCAACTCGCCGCTTCCCTTTCGGGTTCCACTCGAGCAATGGCTTGTCTAGTGATGTCACTTGATGCATTGTTTCCTCAGAGTATGGCCAATCCATCTCGATTTCTTCCTGCCTATTTGTTTCACAATCGGTTCCTGCTGTGTTGGTTCGCTCCCAGAGATCTCTGTTGCTTATCTTTTCTGGCCATCTGATCTTGAGTATTGAGCGAAGACAACTGTTGATGAAGGTCTGTAGTTTGTTTGAGATGCTCTTTGTGACACGCTGGCCAAGTCTCTGATCCGTATACTAGCACTGACTTCACATTGGAGTTGAAAATCCGGATCTTATTTTTGATGCTGAGTGCTGTTGACCTCCACACAGACTTGAGAGTAGTGAAAGCTTGTCTTGCTTTTCCGATTCTTGCTTTGATATCCTCATCAGTCCCGCCTGTAGTTGAAACGATGCTTCCCAGGTAGGTAAAAGAGGTTGTTTCTTTCAGGTTCCTCCCATTTATGCTGATTGTTGTCTGTTGTTGTTGTTGCTGGTGGTGGTGTTGCCCAGGAATCTTCATCACCTCTGTTTTCTCTATGTTCATCTAAAGTCCTATCTTCTCTGGATGCTTCTTCTGCCAACTTGTTGCTTTTCGCTTGCATGTGATACTCACTTTTAATAGAAGTTTGCATTGGGAAATGAATGAAAGATAAAAGGAAGTATTATTTTTTAAAATTAACTTTCTGTTATTTAATACTACTTTTTTCATAAGATAAACACATATTGTGTTTATAATTGGTAGAAGTTAGAATTCATGTACTGGCCATTGAATCGGGTCCCAGTGGCTGAACGCTATACGCGCTTGCCTTATAACCGGAAGATCCTGAGTTCGGAGCCCAGTGGGTGTGTACTGCCGACGAGTCCCAAACTAGGATGAAACAGCTGTCTAGTACTTCTTGGTTTTCAGTGGTTTTATAACTGACGTCAATCCGTGATCAACTCGTAAAAACAAAACTAACCCTTACAAACCAGCTATAGAAAATTTTGTCTTTTATTACTTCAGAGATAGTCATGAAAATAGATTTCACTCGTATAAATTTATCAGTCCAATCAGATGCCACACATAATATCTGAAAGCACTGTCATACTAGTAGACAGGAGTATAACACTCAATTAATAGTCCCTTTATAAATAAAACAAAAAATAAGTCTACATACATGACGCTACATACTGCTGACCTATCGAGATGACTAGCTGAATGCCACTAACACTAACCGGTAGTGTTTGTTGGCTAGGACGAGTTGATCTAAACACCAAGCTGCCATTTCTTTTGTCGACGGTGTACCCGGCTTGACTCAGCTCAGCCTTGTCACTTAGGTGAACTGATAATATCATAAATGAAATTCACAATTTGCAAGTTAATTAGCAAATTACGCAGTCTGAAATGAAATTTCACCACAGTTCCCCTTAGAAACCTAAATCATTCAGATCACAATATGTGGTGTACAGTTTTTAGTTGCAAAGCTTTTATTGTCTCTTTGCAACAGAATCTACATCCTTTACCTCAATAGGACTTCATCATGATAACTTAAAAACCAAATTATCTACTCCAGAGAACAAAACACTATCCTAACTACAAATCTTCATGATTTCAAAATCTACTTCTACTTGAAGAGTATTTCATCTAAAAAGTATGTTAACAGATTAGTGGACTCCTTAATTAACGTCGTTATTATCATCAGTGGCAGCTACTGATGGGATTTTCCCATGGGATATCAATTTCAGAAATATCATAAAAATTTATAATAAATATTATTCGTTGATAACAGTCTCTTTGTTGCATATGGTATTCAACAATCTTACAATGGAAATTATTAAATTACCTAACTAAAGAAACAGTATACTAATAATCACCTAATAAAATATTTTATACTCGTCTTTCGTTATTCATTTTTTTCAAGACTGTGTTCACATATGATGAAAGAATGGTGAAGTTTCATATCGAAAAGATGTGCGGTCAAGTGAATGAAACTTGTATGCATAGATTTGATGCTTGGCAGAATGAGACAATGGAAGAAGACTGTTGTTCAACAGATTTGTGCAATTCTTCTCACACACTATCCAATTCACTATCACTTCAACTTTTTTCAATTTTCATTACATGTTTATCTATTTTTACCATTAAATTAGTAATCTGATTATAATATAACACTTAATAACAATAACAACAATAATAATAATAACAGTGAATGGACGCTTTCACTAAAAATAGAAGCAGGATTTCTTGTTATGAGAAGTGTTATTTTTTGTTTTCTTTTAGTGAAACTTTTACTCTTATATATGCTTTTACTATTATTATTATTATTGTTATTACTACTATTATTCACTTCATCATTTGCAAATATGTAATCTCATATCGATTTTTTTTTATTGTTTTAGTTCATCAGTGTATCCAATTGCTTAATATTAATTTCGGAAAACAAATGAATAAACACGTATACCGTATTATTTTGTTTGTCTGATAAATGAAAATAAATTTAGTGAAAAAAATTAACTGTATGTAAATAGTCAGTCAAATAACAGGTTAACTATTTCTACAGTGACACTGAAACGCCTACCATCTTCGTTTATCGGTATACTCTGGAAATCATGTATCTAATACAAACATGTCTAAAGTTGTGAACGGTTGTTTAGCATGGAGACAGCAGTAAGTACTGCGTACATTAGGTTGGTATATGCCTTCATGTAGAGTCTGTAGGAAGCTTCCAAGTGATAAAATTTAAAGACAATAAAAGAGATTGCAGTTTCTGGCTGAAATCAAATCCTTACAAATCAACTCTTGAAAATTAAGCTGATGCTAGCTAGTGACTTGCTTCAGGACAGAGTTTCCTGGAGTTCTAGTGAAAAATTCGTGATCAGTGATGTCCATTCAGTCGGGAGTGAGGATGGAGTTCCCACCGATGACATTGGTTGGTGGTCACGAATTGGTTGAAGTTAGAATTCATGAGCCATTGAATCGGGTCCCAGTGGCTGAACGGTATACGAGCTTGCCTAATAACCGGAAGATCCTGGGTTCGGAACCCAGTGGGTGCGTACTGCCGATGAGTCCCAAACTAGGATGAAACAGCTGTATAGTACTTATTGGTTTTCAATGGTTTTCTAATTTATATCAGTCTGTGGTAAAACTCGAAAAACAAATCAATTCGTTACAAATCAACTCTCGAAAGTTATAACTGAGTAAAAGAAAAACAAGATCACTACTCTCAGATTTTGTAGAAGGTTTTGCTAATGCAGTAGAAGATATTGTCTGCTTTTGACATAAATGTTTGACATGCGTTGTCTGCCATGCTGCTACTTTATTCCTTTGCCTTCTTTCGCTTTCTCAGACTAGCTGGTATTTCGATTTCCAATAATCTGTCCTTGTTTTTTAATGACTTCCTTTTCTCAAACAGATAACAGTGCATGCAGTTTTTTCACAGCCGGTAAGTTGTCGCTGCCTGGTTGTTGGTTATATATATGCAGTCCAGTGTGGTTCAAACCTTTTGCCTAATATGTACAATCTCTTGACGGAATTGGTGGTATTTTATTGTCAATTTTTATTTAGGCTTTTTTTTTAGTGACTTAACTCTTTGACATACAGGCTACAACCATATAGATGAAACTGAAAATAATAATAATAATAGTGATAATGATATATTTTAACAAGTAAAATTATTTACATTGGTAATGATAAAGACTGTTGACTGGTGACTGAAATACTACTAAATAACCAATAATCCAAACGACTTGGACTTTGTATCTACAGCATCCTCTGAACGATAAAAGAAATCAAATAAGCCGCTAATAATTTCTCAAATCATTATAGTTGTGTAAGAAGAGGGTTTACGCAACCCACTTATCAATTACAAGTTTCTTATGTATTAAGCTATCATCCATGCATTATTTGTGAATGCTTCTGAGACTAAAACGTTGTCCAAGCCAAAACAACGTATAGTGGGATTCAGACTCAAAACTCACTGAAATGCAAATGCCTAGGCCAACGAACGATACCTTTTGAGAAAGCAGAACTTGTACTGTCATCCTTTGTTAATTTGAATTGTTTTACTCGTCTGAACAAAGCCCTAGACCTGGTTTTCTTGAACGATCGTGATATATATGCGGTGCGAAGGAGAGCTCCAATGCTGAATTGTGACCATTGCATCATCCGTATTTTACCGAAAGTGTATGGCAAGTTACACAGAAGAGCCTTCGTTCACCTAACAAAGAAAATCCAATTCACACGACAATATTCAAGCACTAAGCTGTATGTTGCATGAAACTGACTGGGACCTATTCTGTGATGAAGTGTCAGACGTTACTATATCTAATATCACCTCTGATCTCAAGTTCTGTTTAGTCATTTGCTGTCCTACTAAAATACTGTTCATGAGATTCGATAGGATCTCTTTTCCACAACTAAAAAGCTTAGAAGAAAAAAGAGAAACTGTATAAATGACATGACAGTGCAGGTGTTAGAACGATAAATTTACTGATGAAGTCTGAAATACAAAGACTAAATGGGATATATGATGAAAATTTTTTATCATGTAAGAACGTTTCTAATATCTGGAAACTTTTTAATAAACTTACAAGTAGAAAAAAATTTCAGCTGATGCCTATCCTGATGTAAGTGCCTTAAGTGGATCTTTTATAATGCAACAAGCTAATATGACTGGATCTGATGTTTCTAGTCACGTAAATGATCATTTTCCTGGTTTAAATGAAAAGGATGTATTTTCGTCTCTTAAATCCTTAAACCCATCACACAGGATAGGACCAGATGGTTTACCAAGCGTTTTGCTTGAAAAGTGTGCTGACAGTTTGTGTTATCCTCAGATTCAGATTATAAGGATAGAAGGCTCTTGTTGCCTGTGTTAATCCTCGCGATATATATATGTCTGCAGAGATCCAGTTTCTCTTTGAAAACGTTCACCAATGAAGCTGTTACTACTGTATCAGGTAAGGAGTTCCAGTCGTTGACCACTCTGTGAGAGAATCTAAATTCCACACGTGTTTTATTCGACCTTGGTTTGAGCACCTACTTGTGGTTACCTCGTAAATGTATCTTAGAGGCAGAGAGAAGGTTACTCAAATCTTTAATGCATTATTTCACAGGGATACAGAACTTGTAGTCTGGAAGGAAATAAAGGTGGTGCCTGTATCAAAGTCATCTTCTGGATCAGCTCTAAAGTTTAGGCCAATCGCCATCACGTCTCCATTTTTGAAAACTATGGAGGAACTTCTCTTGCATATTCTTAAACCTTTTTTGAAATCTTTTAATGACCCAAAGCTTACAAATGCAGTGGAAGCACATTAGATATTGTCATTATACTCCACCACAATATTGCTTCAAGTCTTGATAAAGGTGCGAAGTTTGTTCGAGTTTCCTTTTCAGACTTCACTGCTGCTTTTGACTTTGTTCCTAGGGCACTTTTACTAGGCAAGCTGATTTCAGCAAACACTGAGTCATGGGTCACAAGGTGGCTGTCTTCTTATTTTTCGGGTAGACACAACATACGGTTTTGAATGAAAAGCGCTCCACTTCGTTGCTAACGGAAACTGGTGTGCCTCAAGGCGCTGGCTATACTCTCTTCAATCCTTTTTTCTTTCTTTTTGCATGACCTTTCATATTCTTCCAAAGCTAACTTCGTTAAATATGCCAATGGTCTTACCATTTCTGTGTCAGTAATTTCGGCTTTGGATTGTCCTTATATGAATAAATTGTTGTCTGAAGTTAACAAATGGTCTCACCTAAATGGTCTTAAATCCATCTAAATATTATATTGTTGACTTTGGTTTCAGATGCGAACAAGACTTGCGTGAACTGATTCAGTCTCATGATTCCTGTAATACTGAAGACACTGTTATAGGGAGTAAATCGAATATCTTTTATCTCGGGATCAGTTTCTCTTCGAATCTTTGTTGGTCGTCTGACATCCTGTTGATTTCTTAGAAAATTTTTCGTTTAACTTATAACATAAAGAAGTCGAGACTTTCTGGCATAACTCAACCTCTTCTCTTACATTTTGTTAATTCATGTATTCTGCACATTCTCCTTTATTGTTCGTCATTATTCTTCCCTGAACTTCTCAAAAAAGACTTTGTAATATTACATCGAACACTGAAGGCTGTAAGTAGGGTTAGTGGTCTGCCTTTGACTCAGCTAACTGACATTATTGTCAATAGGCACTTCGATTCTTGCAAGCATTTGGCTAAGGTTATTTCGTCTGATACTGAAAATCCTCTTTATTCTCAACTCTCTCCTTGTCTCTCTTCGGGTAAAACCAGAAGAAACTTCATAAGAATTTATGCTCGTACAACTAAATATAAAAATTCTAGCATACCACCATATTTATCATGGGTGCTTGTGTGTGAAGAGATGGTCAGATGTCAGAAAAGAACTTATAAACTTTTTAAATCAGTAATCTGAACTGCAAAGTATAAGCAAAGATTATTATTACATGTATTATCTATGATATTATCTATTTATAGTTCATTATGTTTCTGCCAACATTCTGTTTATATTGGTTTCATTATTAGTATTATTATTGCTATTTTAAATTTTATGTATGTGCATATTTATAAAAGGAACTAAATTGTTGCAATATGTATGAAAACCCTGAGAATTCTGTTCTGTATAATTATTAATGTTTGGAATAAAGTGATTATTATTATTCTTTAAATAACCAGTCACAAAAATGTTAAGTTGAGTGTCACAAAAGGTGAGGAGCAAGGGTAGCAACAAACTACTATGGTACATAAATTTTAAGACCAGACAGGTCATTAGAAAATAAATCAATGAAATATGAATAAAAATATTGTGAATCAGTCTCATTTAGTCAGACGAGACATATAAAGAATAGTACCTAATAAATGATGATATAACTAAAGATTGAGAAGAAATTAGCGCGAATGATCTTTAGGTAGCCAATCAGAGTGTGCGTCGGTAGGAATGAAATTAGTAAAGAAGAAATCGAGTTTATCAATAATAATGAACATTGTTCAAGATTTATAGGAGAGATTTCATCCGGATAGTTCCCAAACTTAGTTTTAACTTAACCCTAATCTCCTAGCTCTGAATTTCAGACACAGATGAACACCAATACTCTCGTTCAACGTTCTTAAACATTCTTACCAATAACATAAATTGTCCTGGCCTACTTTGGCTTTTCACTTCAGGGTCATTCGTGCTATTGTTCGCTTGGATCACTAATTTTTCACTTCACCCAGTGGAATTCGTTCGTTCTCAAGCATATTTGCCGATAGAATTCAAGCAGTGCTTCATGGTATGTGCGTCGGTGGCACAGCGGTTAGGACTCTCGCCGACCATGTACATGGTCCGAGGTTCGATCCCCCGCCGACGCACACCTGATATCTATGGTCGGCCTGCTTAATTTGGGCGACTGATATCACATGCTGAAAATTTCATACTTGTACCAAAATACTC